CAGGCCTCCCCAGAAGAGCCACCCCCCACGCAGGCCTCCCCAGAAGAGCCACCCCCAACCCAGGCCTCCCCAAAAGAGCCACCCCCCACCCAGGCCTCCCCAGAAGAGCCACCCCCTACGCAGGCCTCCCCAGAAGAGCCACCCCACCCCATGCAGGCCTCCCCCACAGACATCCTCGCCCCTTTCCTCACCGCAGGCCTCCCGTCCCAGGTGTGCCCCACCCTGCCTGCCCAGGCCCTCACCGGCCACAGACAGCCGAGCACCTCGGCTGACAGCCGTGCCCAGCCGGTTGCTGGCCTCACAGGTGTAGACGCCCAGGTCTGTGGGTAGGACCTGGTCATTGTAGGCAGGTTCCCGGGAGGGAGGTCGCATCAACAGGAGGGTCCCATTAGGAAGGAGGTCATGTAGGTCCAGGGGCATCATGCTCAGGGGCTGCCCATCCAGCAGCCAGCGGATGGTAGGAGGCGGCTGGCCTGAGGCGCGGCAGGTCATCTTGACCGGGCCGGGACCCTGGAGCAGCTGGTCCTGGGGATGGACTACGATCTGGGGTGGGGAGTCCTGAGTCATGCCTCCTGGGAGGGAAAAGACAGGGGAGCCCAGTCTAACTACTGACAGGGCCCCCAGATCCCTGCCCCCCACACATTTGCTCTCTCTCTCACACACACACACACCCCTCCGCACCCCTCACGGCGAAAGGGGAGCAAAGGATCCAGGGAGCCTCCTCTCCTCCTAGGCAGGCGTTGTTTCAGGGCACGAGGGCTAGAAGAACAAGGCGGCACTCACCCACGCAGAGTGGAAGCAGGAAAGGCAGGGACCACCCGGCCCTGAGGAGGCTCGCTTCTCCAGAGCCCATGGCTGCTCTCAGGCCTCTGTCCTTGTCCCAAGCACTTTGTCCTGCTGCTCTGAACTCAACAGCGGAGGGGGAAGGAGGGGCGGGGAGGTGGTAGTGGTTGTTTGTGACCGAGACTCTGCCCAGGAGGGAAGCAGCTTGGAGGAAACCGATGCTTCCTGTCTGGCCCTCAGAGCCTTGGAGAACAGGGAGGAGACCAGAGGAGTGAAACTTTCTGACCTTGACTCTTTAGCCATAACCCTTGACCCTAACTCCAGCCCTGAGGTTTACTTTACTATCCAGTCTGGGATTTCTTCATGGTGATCCTCACACTGACCGTAACTCCAACCATATCCTTTAATCTTTTGGCTCTGAATCTCTACTTAGACCTTATCCTTGAATCTTAATCCTTATCCCCTTGCTTTCAAGTGACCCCCTGCTAGAGTGGAATGAACACCCAGAGGTGGGATCTCAGGGCACAGCACTAAGGAGCTGAGGGCAGAGAGGAAAAGGGGGCTTTGGGTGATAAAGCAAAGTGGAGGGAAGCAGGAGTGCACTGTCATTCCAAATTCAGTTCCCTGGGATAGATGAGGGTGGGGCGGGGCAGGATGGAAGATAGGAGGGATTCACAGCCTCTGGGACAACCTGTCCATATTCACCTCAGGGAGAGATGAAATAGCTTGGGCAAGTAACTTCACCTCTGCAAGTCAGTTCCCTTATCTGTAAAACGGGAAGAATGAGGGGGGCGAGACTTCATCTCGTGTACTTTGGACATGTTATCAGGAGGGCCCAGTCCCTGGAGAAGGACATCGTGCTTGGTAAAGTAGAGGGTCAGTGAAAAAGAGGAAGACCCTCAATGAGATGGATTGACATGGTGGCTGCAACAATGGGCTCAAATATAGCAATGACTGTGAGCACGGCGCAGGACTGGGCAGAGTTTTGTTCTGTTGTACACAGGGTAGCTGTGAGTTGGAACCAACTCAATGGTATCTAACAACAACAGTTCCTACCTTGTGGGCTGGAGTAATGAAATGAGATGAAGCATAAAACCACCTAGCACAGTGCCTGTCACATAGGAAGCGATTAGGAAAGGTTTGCCAGTACTATTGTCTATTCTTAGGCACATCCCATCACTGAAAGTCTCCAAGCATCCTCGGCAGGGATGGTTTTCAGGCCCTGGAAAGGTGGTTGCAGTAAATGACCTTTAAGAGTCTTCCTGCCCCTGAAACTCCATGTCTGCCACAGAGAGGCCTCTGAGCCTGTGTCCCAGTGCTCAGCCTGTGCTCTCCACCCCTCCTTAGAGAGCGGCCACCCTACCCACTCAGAGCCCAGCTCCTGTTTGCAGGTCTCTTCCTTCCAAATCTGGAATCTCAGTCATTTCCTGGAGCTGTTCCCGGAAGGCCAAGGCCAGGCCCTGAGGGATCAGCAGAAGAGTGTCCAGCCTTTGTTTCTAATTGTTCCTGGCCAGCTTCTCTGCGGGGGCGGGGAGGGGGAGAGGTGGGGGCTCCCCCAGCTGACCCCTCACCACCCCTTCCAGCCTGTGCTGCCCCTTCAGTTCCAGCCACAGCCCTAACAGCCTAGGGGGGAAGACCTCCTGCCTTTCTCCTCCTCTTTCCCCTCAGACTGAACCAGAGCCAGAGAATGCTGGGGTCTCTCCCAGTGGGGGATTTCCAAAGGGCCAAAGTAACAGAGAGATAGAGCTGGAGGGAGAGGAATTGGGACCAAGAATCCAGCCTGGGGTTTCAGACATGGAGGAGCTAAGCGTGGTGACGAGTTCCAGGCCATGAGCATGGTGTATGTGGTGGGCAGCGTGGAGCGGAGTGGATGAAGTCAAAGAACTGTGGGGCCAGGGTGATGGAGAGTGATGTTTGAATACATGGACACTGAAGCCAACCAGGAACAAGACAGAAGTGATGTGATGAGACAGGTGAGACGTACTGACACCTTGGGGTTTGCCACGCACAGAACCTCCGAGCCTGTCTGACATCCTGATTGCCTGCTCCCCAAGAATATTGCGTCAGCAGTCCTTTTTTTAGTCTCTTCTATTTCTACCTAGGATTGCGATGAGTCAGAACTGACTCGACAGCACCTAACAGCAACAATTTCTACATTGGACTTGGAGAGTCACCAAGTTCTCTTTTAATGCTTTAATGACACTTGATTTTGTTCAAATCTCCACAATCCTGCCCTGCTGTCCTCTTTACCGTCCGGTTCCTTCAGGGGATAAATCTCACAGGAATTCAGATCCATTACTGGCCCTGTCCTCAGCAGAGGAGAGTGAGAGTGGACAAGTGAGACAGCGAGGAGAGAGGCTGGGCTGTACTGAGGTATGGAGCCCCAGAGGCTACAACAGCCTGAGGAACAGCACCTGCCCACAGTCCCAGGCCCTAATCTCTCCAGTTTCCAAACTCTGGAGAGCCAAGTTCTAAGAAGGGATCAGGGCTGGAAGGGTCAATTACTGGGAGATATTCCTGTGGGACCTTAGAGCACCTCCCCACTCAATCCAAGCATCCAGGGCACTGAGGGTATGTGGAAGGATGGCCGATGGGATTTCCCAGCAGTGAGGTGTGTCTGGATGGCTCCCAGAGACCACAGTGCTCACTCATTTCCAGCAACCTGGCCCCTCAGCATCCTGATTGTCTCACTTCCACAAAGGACGAGCCAACTGCATGAGTCATAGGGATGATGTTACTTGATGGGAGGAGTCTCCAATTGTTTCAGGGAAGCTGTGCTCTGGGTCCCTAGTGGTGTGCGGCTGGGTGGCCCAGTTTACACAGCATCTTCCTTCACCCCTTCATTCTGTTGTGCTTTGTGTTTTTCTAAGTAGCCCATTCTTAGCTGCTAGTTAGAGGGAAGAGAGATGAGAGGGACCAGGTGTCCTTCTGAACACCCTCCAGAAGAAGCGGGGCTTTGCTTTGGATTGGATGCTGTCAGGAATCAGGGACAAGTCTAGGGTTCTTTGTAGAAAAGTGTTCGATAATTTCCTTGCTATGTGGTGTATCAAATGGTTGTTTTTTCTTCTTCTATTTTGAACAATGTGCCCAACCTTTCTTTTTTCTTCTATGTCTCCTGTTACACCTACAAGTGTTTAAGAGTTTCTCTAGAGAATAAACCTAGAAGTAGAATTTCTGGGCCATGGGGCATACAAATGCTCAACTTTATGTGATAATGCCAAATAGTTTTCCAGATCAGTTGTAATTGTGTCGCTAACCACATCCTTAGCAATGGTTGGTGGACTTCCTGATTTTTTGTCAATCCAAGCATGTAAAGGAGTCCTGGTGGTACAGTGGTTAAGCATTGGCTGTTAACCAAAAGGTCGGCAATTGGAATCCACTAGTTGCTCCTTGGAAACCCTATGGGGCAGTTCTCCTCTGTCCTACAGGGTCACTCTGAATTGGAATTGACTCAATGGCAATGGGTTTGGTTGGTTTTAAGCATGTAAAACTGTATTTTATTGCTGTCTTAATTTTTATTTGCCTGAATTAAATAATGGAACTGAGCATTTTTTCAAGTATTCACTTACCATCTGTGTTTTCTCTTCTGGGAAATATCTATTTCTATCTTTTGCCCATTTTGTTTTCCTCAATAACTTTCATGAGCTCTTAATATATCCTGGGTAATAACTCTCTACGGATTAGTGATGTTGCAAATATTTCTCCTGGTTTGGATTTATATTTCCTCTTTATGATGTAACAGAAGTTCTTAATTTTAATTTAGATAAATTTATTAATATCTGTTTTTATGTTTCATGCATTCTGTGTATTTCTAAAGAAAAATCTCTCCCTTTTTCTTTTTCAAGAGTGTCTTTGGCTATTCTTGGGCCTTCAGCTTGTCAAGTTCCTTAAAAGCCCTGTGGAATTTTTATTGGAATTCATTGAATATATAGGAAGAACTGACATTTTATAAAACTGTCTTCCTATTCATGAATAGGCATACTTCTGCCTTTATTTAAATCTTCTTTAATGCCTTTCAATAAAGTTTTATAATTTACTCTATGCAACTCTTACACACATATATATATTTAATTTTATCGTGCTTTAAGTGAAAGTTTACAGCTCAAGTTAATTTCTCATTCAAAAATTTATACACATATTGTTTCGTGACACTGGTTGCAATGCCCACAGTGTAACAGCATGCTCCCCCTTTCCACCCCTGGTTCCCTGTGTCCATTCGTCCAGTTCCTGTCCCTTCCTGCCTTCTTGCCTTGCTTTTGGGCAGGAGTTGTCCATTTGGTTTCATATATTTGATTGAACTAAGAGGCACATTCCTCAAGTGTGTTATTGTTTCTTTTATAGGCTTGTCTAATCTTTGTCTGAAAAGTGGGCTTCGGGAGTGGTTTTAGTTCTGAGTTACCACTGTGTCGGAGGGTCATAGTCTCGGGGGTTCCTCTAGTTTCTGTTAGACCAGTAAGTCTTGTCTCTTTTCGTGAATTTGAATTCTGTTCTACATTTTTCTCCCGTTCTGTCCAGGGCTCTGTTATGATCTCTGTCAGAGCGGTCGGCAGATCTTACATGTATTTTGTTAACTGTATTCTTAGCTACTTTCTTATACCTTATGTTATAGATTATTTGCAAAGATAGCTGCAATAATCCCTCCCATTCTGTATGCTTGTCCCTTTGTAATGCTTGTCACCCCTCCCATTAAGAAGTGGAATCTATTTCCCAATCCCTTGAATCTGGGCTGGCCTTGTGAATTGGTTCGACCAATAGAATACAGTGGAACTGATGTGTGGGACTTCTAAGTCTAAGCCTTAAGAGGCATTGCAGCTTCTGTTCTTGCTCCCTTGAAACACTGCTCTAAGACTACCATGTGAAGAAGCTCGGTCTAGCCACAGAGAGCAGAGAAGAGACATCCTAGCTGAAGACTCCTAAATCTGCAGCCAACAGCCAGCATTAGTCACTAGACATGCAAGCGAGGTTGTTTTAGTTATCCAGCCCCAGTTCCAGCTGCCAGATGACAAGGTCCCATAAGTGATCCCTGGCAACAACAGCAAATGAATTACCTGGTGGCTGGACCCAGGCCAA